TTTTGAGTGGTATATAATTGCGCAGCAAAATTGCGCCACCATATGCAAAACTTCGCTCGTGTTGATATATTTCGCGATCAACGCGAATGACCATCAACAACGTGTTCTTTTTTTATAAATACATTCATGTGCCGTGATTATTACGGTCGCGGATTTTTATGCACGGTGTTTATTATCCATGTTTTTATACGCCATTCGCGAGTACGTTGAAATAATGTTATAATGCGTCGCGAATTCGCGAAACAAGAAATGAGAATCCTGTGTATTTCTCGAAAACTCGGGATACTCTGGAAAACTCTGCCTTTATCATTTTTGCTTTCGTCAGAAACATCGCTCTTTTCAGTTTGCATTCTTTTTAGACGCGATTCGCGCAAGTGTCTTCTGTTGTACGCCGATATTAATCCTATCACGATACATCTTCATTTAGCGCATTCTGAAAACTCCTATTTTTCGTCGGTCGTTAAACCAACTCGTAAATTCCATTTCGAGATAAATCGTTATAATGTAAATGTTAGTCGCGTCACGAATGAAATATAGTGAAGTGAACTGCAATCAACGTGGGACGACGCAGGACGACGAAGACTGGACGCTGCGGAATTCCGGATACGGCGGTCCGGGGTGTGGTGACTGGTTTCATCGGTGGACCTGGCTGGACATTGGTCGACTTCATCACGAAATGGTGAGTGTTGAAATTCAACGCTCACAGAGTGAAATATTATATAGATATATATATGTACTGCATGCGTAGTCGTAAATCGCGTTGATTCCCAACGAATAGCGTAGTAGTAGTAACACAATTGCATGTTTATTTCTTACAAGAACAATATCATTCAGTAATAAATGAGGCAAAATGACGATTAATATTTTATATGCACAAATATAAGACACACACCAATTCTTTATACTGAAATATTCTAATATATATAAATAATATGAGTTATTAAAAACGTTAAACTATTCTCGCTTATTAAAGCAAGAGAAGAGACTTTACGACAAATTTTGATCTTTGATCACAAAGCATTTGTGCACTGAGAGAACAAATATCTAAAAATTAGTATCTATTTATTTGTGTGGTGAAGAAACTCTAACAGCATACATTTATTTAAGTCTATATTATTTTATTAAAATAAAATATAAATAATTACTTTTATGAAAAACTAAGATTTTCTTAAGGTTTTAAGAAAATATATTTTCTTATTTAAAAAATAGTTTATATTAGCATAAATAAAAATGCTGTTGTAGTACTCTCACTAAAAATAAATATTTACTACTTCTTAGATATTTTTTTCTTAGCGTGGGTGAAAGTTATAATTTGTCGCGACGCGCTCCGCTAGCTAACCGAGGATTAATTTCTAATAAGATCGGTGCACGCAGAGCACAGCCGGTGTCCCTATTTGATACCATTTTCGATACTGCTATTAGCCGAGCTATTAAGCAGAGTTAGCGTGCGACATTCATATCGCGCATTTAATTCGCGCGTTGGCCAGATAGGCAAGTAGGCAGGTAGGCAAGTAGGTAAGATAGACATCCCCTACGCACTGAAACGGCAAATGCACGCACCCAAACGTATGTGTAGCAAGATGCGGTCGGTTGTAGATCAACTGGTCACGAATGAATGCCTTTTACAGCTCCGTTGAGTACTAATGCTTTTACGCGTGTTTACATTAACGTTATCGCCGCGAATAGTTTCTCACCACCCTTCCCTTTTGCGGCTCCCCATCTCGTGCCTCCGTGTGTGGAGAACGACGTTACTGGGTCATTACAAGTCGAACCCTCTGCAGCCACCGCTTACACACGATATCTCGGCGAGTACCTTCTTACGTCTGCACGCGCGCGTCCGCCCCCCACGCGTACACTGGCTTTAACAGCACACGTGCACACGCACACGCGTATACTCGCGAGCGTTCTCTCGTCACATCTATCGACCGACACCGGCAACAACGTTCAAACACGGACGCGCTGTCGCACGCCAAGTGCTCACGGGGAAACACGGAATCGAAGCTGCGGGCCAGGAGGCACGCGATTCACTGATCCGTCTTGCGAGAGGCGTTACCGTTATCTCCATCGGCCAATCTCGGCCGGTCGACTAATAGGTTCAGCACGTGAATACCCTGGCCCGGCTAGGACCACGTGAAAAGGCCTTCGGTGCATGTCTCTCTGTGACCGTTGGTGCGATTCGCCAGCGGTGCACGAGGGAGAGTAGCCTAAAACTGGCCGCGGAGCAAAGAGGAGTATCGACCTGTTAGCGCCGCTAACCCCCCGTCTGTTCTCGAACGCTTTCTTACGTAACGTCGCGTCGTTCCGTCGATATCCCGATGGCGAGAATGTGCAAAAATGTCGCGTCGACAAGTTTCATGCGTGGTAATTGTGACTCGCAGCTCAACTTTTACGCCGATCGATTTTGCGCTAATGAGTCGATGACTTCGTCGCGAACAGAATGAGTCGGGAAAGATATCGCTCTTAGATAGGAAAATACGCGGAACGCGCTGCAACGTTTTTCTCTCGTATAACGCATCAACCTGTCGGTCGTTTCGCATTTACCCCCAATGCGCAAATGGAGAACTCTCGTACCTCGTTATGCACGCAATAATTGCGTACTTACATTAATGGTTACACGGAACTACGTATGTGTGTGTGTGTGCGGCACTTTACATCCGTTGGGTGCGTTTATGCTTAACGATCCAGCTATATGTACATGTATATATATGATGGAAAATATGAGAAAACGTAAACAGCAGTTTGCCGTGCGAGATAACCATCGGAAATAATAATGTAATGCAGCAGCAACGATGGCTACAACGAATTGTATGTAATTGCGTTTTTGTGCTTCGGTTCTACCTTGCTTTCAAAATTTCATCGTATCGGTTCGTAAACAAAACGGACTGGTCTCGCGTATGGATATTTCGAACGAACTGAATTGTACGTGGCGTTTCTTGACGATTCCCCATAATTATGTAGTCGTCGTAAAGGCGCGACGAAGAAACTGCGCCGTGCACGAGCATGCAATTCCATGAAGATTAACAAACCGGGCCGTGTAAATGGAACGTTTTTTCCTGATCGCTGATCGATACATACATCAAGGTACGTAAAAACGTGCCTTCATAAACGGAGGTTCGTTCGTTTTAAACGAACACTGAGAGGGAAGGCCTTCACCTTTCGCGCGCGAAACGACGAAACCCGCTGACTCAGCGCTAATTCTCGCCTATGACACGTTACAACACAAGCGAAACTTTTCCACCCTCTTGTTTACCGACGAAACAGCTACAAAACGGTACTTTGCGATGCGCTATTTACGGAAACGCACACACCCCACCGTTGACTTGGTAACGGGGCGAGCGAATATCGGGTGTGTAAGGTAAAAGTACGAATATCCGGACACGCACCTAATTCGGGACATTCTTATTGTTTGGTTTTTAAATACGAACATTTAAACTTTCAACACGTAAAATATATATATACATGTATTGAATATATATATATATATATATATATATATATATATATATATATATATATATATATATATATATATATATATAT